TCCGATGAAGAAAAATGTAAATATGGATCTTTCTTATTAGAGTGGTCATTGAATAACTATATATAATGTTCAGTTTATTGATAAGACATCAAGAGCCCCAAGAGAGTTCATAAAGGTTTAGTCAAAGTTCTTGTCCAGTCTTATTTGATTTATTTAAGATATTAAACTATGTCTGATTTTAATCACTTTAATCAATTAGTTGAATGCACTGAATTCAGTGAATGTAGTTAGGGTTTAAATATAGACAGAAAATCTGTCAGAAAATCTAAAATGTGTCAATGAAAAGTCAGTTTTGTTAGTAAAAAGACTCTAAAGTCTTTTCCTCTATAGGGAAATAAGAGCCCTTTAGTTTATTCATTTATTCCTTCCTCTCTGACTGAGATTTTAAAATCAATGTAATAAAATCAGTAACTAAAAGCTAATGACATGGTGTCTCAGGAGTGGTTAGACATTTTTTGAAGGTGTCACAGTAGTTGGCATAATAACTGAAATATGAAAATAATCTATAGTGGTGCAGAATATAATCAAAAAATCTAAGAGCAAAGCTGTAAACCATCCTGCTTTGATGTGAGACACATAGATGTGCAGCATGCACAAGCATCAGGACACTCCAAGGCATGAGAGCACCGTACCCTGTGTGAGAGGCCTTTCCTAGGTGGTTTTATGCTGAGCTACTTGGGAATGGGAACGCGGGGGCCTCTCTGTACTCCCACCTTATCAGGAGTGAGGGGGATGGAGCCTTTCCTAGGCTGGGCTCTACACTGAGCTACGTAGGAATAAACACGGTGGCCTTTCCGTACCTCCAAATGCCATGGGGGCAGCCAGGTGACATGGCCTACCGCTGTTCTCGGTCCCAGGACACCAAGCAAGCAATCAGGACATATTCTACTGTGTCTGCCCATGGTGTAAGCAGGGTGAGCCTTGGCCACACACAGTGTAAGAAATAAATTAAAATCTTATTTATGCAGTTCTGGTACTCATCTGACCATTCATTTTCTCCAGTAGCCGCCGACCACCTCCTGCACAGCAGATGCCTACGTACAGGCTCCTGGGGAACATGCCATAAATAGTTTACCCTTTTGGAGGGTAAATAAAATCTTATTACTTTATGGTTTTTTGTTTGTTTGTTTGTTTGTTTTCTTGCTGTAAATGAGGGCTTGTGCAAAGGAAGTTACTACAGAATGGCACTTCCACATAACTGAATTACAGCAGCCATGTAATACGTACCCATTCTATCTGATGATGGGATTGTGCTTCTAGGTTAAAAAAACAGGACAGGGCATTTAGAGAATAGGGAAAATGACTTGTGTAGAAAGATAGCTGGACAGACTTACTGCCACTAGAAAAAGCTTCATGTGACAGGAGACAAAATTGCCTTCTCTACATCTTGCTTGGCACTCCATAATGTATAAAGATGGTTTTAAAATATGAGGTATCCGTAGAGGATCAATTGGTCTGGCTTATACCTGTCCAAGATCAGAGAGATCAAGGACAGGGAGACACTAGTAAGGGAGCCTAAGATCAGGAGTTTGATCTGTGTTTTATAAATTATAGTAAATTCATGAATTCATTTTTGAATGGGCTTAATTCTTTTCCTTTTTTACTGCTAAATTCTCTACAGATATATGCTAAAACTACACTAAGAAGAGGTTAAGTTGCTAAGTCCTCAGTAATAAAAATGAGCAGCATTAAGATTTTCTATGCAGCCTTAATCATGAGCTCCTGTGCACAGTCATTGCCATTAAGGAACTGTATGTGATATTTTGTACATATTTTGATTTCCTTTCTTCTTTTTATCAACCTGGCAGAAATTACAAGATAATTACATAATGACTTAAAAGGGAAGTCCACAGAGGTTTTCTTTCCTTGTGAAAAGAAGTTATGTGGTGTTATCAATGCAACAGTGCTTCTAATGTGTTCTAAGGAACATCTCTGAAGTTGCAGCAGTCCTTTGAACATAGACAGTTCTGTGGGGCTTTCTGTGTCAAAGGAGGTCTTGTGCCTTCAGTAACAATTTCTATACTACTCTATCCTTCCTGAAAAGTACCCTCCACCAAAAGTGTAAGGAGGTAGAGGAACACGGTAGGGAGAGAATAGCATAAACTATTTTCAGTTTTCACTATTTTTTTTTTTCACTATTTTCAGTTTGTGACTGAACCTGGATTTTATATTCACAGCATATTCCCTGCTACAGCTTAACATTTATAAGGATTGGGAAGATATAAGATGCAACTGTGACTGATTTTCTGGAATCACTGCCCAGGCAAAATGAAGTATCTGTCCCATTCAGTTATCTTAAGTTTTCTCAGAGTATAAACAAAGAACAAACAACTTGGATGAAAGTCTTAATTCTTCATTTTGAATCTCTGATCACACTTGTTGCAGTGTGATCAGCAGCTCCACTTCTTGCAGAGGAACTTTGTGATTCAAGCCAAGCAGGATAACAGCACAGTTTTCATTTAGTTTTGTGTAGTCTTTTGTGTCTGCAAGTGTTGTTAGCAAATATCCTAGTAACTAAGAGCTAAATAAAACAATTAATTGCCGTAGCATCTTACGATTTTTTTATATAAACTTACGTATTTGTCAAACCTGTGCCTATTCACGCTTTCCCTATAGCTTGTAACACTGAACAGTTTTTTTTCCTTTTTTCGTATTTACATGAAAGACATTTTGGTTGAACAGTATGAGCCAAATCCTAGCTGATACACCTGGATCCATTTCATTACTTTTGACACCCATCTAGTGGACACTGTGTAGTATCACAGGATAAAATTCCTGTCAAAACAGCTATATACAAATCTGCATACTTGTTATGTAGTAGTACAAGTCACAGGGCCTCACACAACTGACAAATATGCATTTTTATCCAATAAGCTTTTAAATTTTAAGCTTTTTTAAAAAATGTTTGTGAATCTGACAGTGAAATCATTCATTGAAACATGTCCTCAGTGGGAAAAATAAAACTGATAACAGAATAAAAACCAAAAACCCAAATCTTAAAACTAACCCATTTGTTCCTTTAATGCAATAAAATACCTTTTATTCAGTTGACTGAAAAAGTCCAATGTTAAGAAAATCTCTGTAAAATAATATTCCTTACTAAGCATAATTTGAAGTTATTCACTGCTAGTGAGTAATAATAGTCACTAATACTAGCTGTAAAGGATCTTTTACTTTAATATTAGTACTGTTTAGCCCTTTTCAATATTTTTATGAGTGCATCACAAAATACAGTTTTAGATTGGAAACAATCCTGAAAAAGTTTGTATCACCATCCAATGGATAGAGAAAGTGAAAAGCAGAGGTGACTTGAGCTGTCCGCTCTCACGCAGCAGACTAATGGCAGAGTGCTCATTAGCACAGATGAAATTTAGTTAATTTGAGACAGATAATGTAGTAGGAGGATATTTGAGGGCACAGAAATACTCAGAATTGAAAAAAAAATTGGAAGAAGTGTATATATTGGTATTTATTGAAGTGAGCAGTTCTGAAAGCATCTCTTCAAGTTGATTTGATTTTTTTTTTCTATTTTTAGAGGGGAAAATATTTTGCTTTTCTAAAGTCACACTATTTTGAAAGATGATTTAAAAGCAAGAAACAAGGTAATCCAGGTAGCAGCATGTACATCTATAATACATGTGCTGAAATCTAATCACAGCTGATGCGTATAGAACAGATTCTCTTCAACTGTCATTAGACATTATTAAAAGCGAGTGAGTGTCCTTTATGTGAACAGTGTTTTCAAAATGAGTACTGTACATGAATTTGTTGCAAAAATATATTAACATGTATCCATATTTAAAAGATCATATGATGAATCCTCTGTTCGTCCCTCATGAGTAAAAGCTTTAGCGTTATTTAAGTTCCTGCCTGAGTACTGCAAAGGAGTTAAACTAATTATAAACTGAGGTCTCATGCACACCTTTTCTACTATCTGACTATAAAACTGAAATTGCTGTTTGCTTTTAGAGATGTGACCAGCCAAGGAAGGAACAACTATCTTTCGTTTCTGTCTGAATAAGATGTGCTCCATCCTATCAGGAGCAGACATAATCTTGCTGATACGCACTCATATAACCTCAGAGGCTACGTACTGCAACTCATTAAATCTAGAAACTGAGCCACACGCTCCAAAAGGGCTCCATATGGTACACACGGCAGCTCTCGGGCTGCTAAGCAACAGGGGTTGCCATGAGCACATCACCTGAGCACTGCTTGCCCTGCACCAGCTTCTCACTGATTACAGAGTCCCCTTCAAGGTCTTTGTTCTGCTCTTCAAAGCCCTTTATGGAACTGCCAGGGACTACGGGAAGACCTTCCCTCTCTCTTTCGCTGTCTCACCTCAGCTTCTCATGACAGCATGTTCCCTAGGAACAGTACAGTTGTTTACCTCTCCATCAAATGCAATATCTAGAAGAGTTACAGAAGTTACTCTGCTTGCAGAACTGCAGAAGTCATTTATTTGTTCTTGTTGTACAATAGCAACTATCTGTAATGCATACAATTGTGCACAAACACACATATATGCATTGATCGTAGTCCAGCATTTGATTCCTAATCATTGAAAAAAAGACAAGATATGTTCTCAAAATGTTTGAGTACTAATGAAGAATTAATGATGGATAACTACTCAATAATAGAGTGGGAATCAGGGTAATGAGGGTACCAGACCGAGATGGGGCATGAGGAAGAAGACAATGAAACATCATGTTTCTTCATGCTTAGAGCTCATAGCTTGCAAGTTCATATATTCCATATTTCAAATTTGTCTTCTTCCTTTCTTGAGTTACTTTTCCTGCAGGCTTGCTCTTTTTGGTTACCAGCAGTTATGCGGTATATTCCTTATGCCTCTTATTCTTGCCTCAGCAATAGAATTGACTGGCTTTAACAGAAGCAATTATCTAGCGTTAAATTTGTCAGAATAGTGTTCATTACTTCATTACAGAATTCATATGTCAATAGCATAAATTTTTTTTTTTTTTTTTTTTTTTTTTTTGCAGTTTCGATGTAGACAATGGCACATCATCGGGACGAAGTCCCTTGGATCCCATGACAAGCCCAGGATCAGGGCTAATTCTTCAGGCAAACTTTGTCCATAGTCAACGTAGGGAGTCTTTCCTTTACCGATCAGACAGTGACTATGACCTTTCTCCAAAGTCCATGTCCAGGAACTCCTCCATTGCCAGTGACATGTAAGTACTTTAAGAAAAGTTGTAGCATGTGTTTTCTCCTCTACAAAATATCCTTAATCTTTGGGCTAGCATTTTTCCAACATCAAGAAATTTCTTTTGGAATCAAAGAACTAATCATTCATGCCACTCAAGCCACAGAAAATTGCTGTTGGTTAATTTGTTTAATCAAGCTCGTATCTGTTTCTGCAGTTTTCTGAAAGTAACAACATTGTGCGGGTGTACTTGACATGTTTATGCACTGTATTAGCTTTGATAGAATAATAAAGACAATCAATATCAAGCAACCTGCCAAAGTTGCTTGCACTACAGACAGCCTCGTTATCTTGACTGTTAACTCTATTCATTACAACCTATACAAATTCAATTTCTGCTTCTTAATATTCCTAAAATTCCGTTCCTTTGCACTAGGAATTTCTACAAAGTTTTTACAGTTAGTTTAGTGTAAATCCTATGTAAGTAATTTCAGATTGAAGCATTTAGAAATTTATTCACTTTCCCAAGTTTAAGCAGAGCAATTGTTTTCAGCTTAACCACATATTAAATTAAACCACATGTTAAATTAAATTCTGTATTGCTCACTTCTGAGAAAGAGTATGCTTTTCCCTAAAATATATATTGTTTGATAATTAAGCAATTTAAGGAGTAGGTGGAAAAGATACCCTCACTTCAATTTATGTTGTAATCACGATTGTGGACAGCACAATACCTATTTGTTACAAAGACATATTTGCACCTTTCAGATGTTTTTGAGACTCTCAGGGTAAGATATAACCCCTGACAGAAATGAGAAAATTCAAGAGGCCAAAATTATTTCAAACAGCTTTTCCACTAAGCAATGAAATTTTAACAGAAGATTTTTGGAAAGCTTTTCTATTCTCTCACTGCTGTTGACTATTCCTCTGTGATGTGTATATTTTCTGCTAGTGGATCACACTTCGCACGTACGTTCAGACTCCAAGTTGCATGAGTAGTGGAAGTCAAATGCAAATTTCTGTTTACTTGTAAGACTAAAACATGTCAAATATTCTAGCTTCTAGTCACTTACAAGTAGTATAAGTGAAGAATAACGAAATATTTTCTTTCATTATTATGTTCCAAATTTCATTGCCAAGTATGGTTTATGGTTCAACTACTAAAATACGTTAAAGTTGTGAAACTTAATAACCCTTTCACCAGTGTCATGAAATGAATGTCCCCTAGTGACCAAGAAAGCCAAATGCATTAAAAAAAAACAAGAATAATATAATTTTTTTTGTAAGAAAAAGATAACATCCTCTTTTTAAAAAGTCAGTACCTAGGTCAAAAGAAAATATTTGTCCTAGCAGTGAGTGAAAAGTCAGCTGCTATTTAACTTGCCATCATTGTAACTGGGTATTCATATTTTAATCTTATTCATCATTTTCAGAAGTGTTGATTATGCCATCTGTTAATAGCTTTTTTTTTCATTTTTAAATGTCAAGACAAGCATAATCAATGCCTTTGCAGAGATTTTGTGTAAGGTCCATGCATCAGTTAAACACTGTTAATTTAAGTACTTTAATAAGCTTTGTGTCCAGTGTGAACAATTTTGGTTGAGAAAAGATAAGTGAGAAACACACCAATCCATCTCACCTTGTAGTATAGGAAAAAATGCATTTCACTTGTAAATGAAGACCTTTAGTCTTAGATCCTTAGGTCTTAGACATTTACCTTTCTTTTAGAAGGTCAGAACTCAGGCTTTTAGTGTGACATCCATGTCAGGGTACCATTTGGGAAGACTTTCACACTCTGAGGGGGCAACCCAGGTTCCTGCTTTGCTTACATCAGTCATTTCAATTAAAAATTCAATTAGTGCTCTATCCTTGAACTCATAATGCACTTCTGCGTTTCCCAGAATTCTGGTTAGTATTTCAGCACATGGTAGTAAATTGGATAAAAAAAATTAATTACTGAAACACTGAACACAGTTTCTTCTTTGGTACTTTATTTACTCTTCCTTTCAAAATCTTAAACACATCTATGTATTAAACTAGTTGAGCTTCACACCTGGATAAATTTCCATAGCTTCCTGTCATATACGAGCTGCTGGACTAAGAAGGTAGCTAATCCTGCCACTCTTCAGGATAGACAACAACAGGAAATATAAAAAGCAAATTGTTTCAACTACAGAATATTAATCATGTATCAGTACACCTAACTCTAATAAGCTTGACTATATAACAGAAACAAAGTAAAGAAACACAAAGCATTGAAAGGCAGGAAAATCTGAAAAGAAAAAATAGTGAAGAACAAGTAAAGAAAAAAATCACAGAGCTCTTTATATAACAGATGTCAGGGAGAAACTGAATATGTCCTTGGAAAACAAACAAGAAAACAAAATCAACTAATTACTATATCAAATCTAATCTTACTCTGGGCCAGCACTTTCTAAAAGGTTCTGAAGCCCAGAAGAGTAGTCAGAGAAGGCATCACATACATATTCAGATCACTTTCAAATTGTCATATTTCCCCTCTGCATGTATATACCTGCTTTATTCAAGTATTGCATGGTCTGTAAAATATACTAGAAAACCTACACATCATTCAGGTAATGTAGATGAATTATTTCTGGAATACTCTTATTTTCCAGTACTTTAATTCTCAACCTCAATATGTAACTTTATAAAGCAAAATGTAAAGCAAAAGGCATGCATCTTGTACTTGGAAGGATCCAAATCATTGCTTTTAAAGGAACATAAAGATTTCCTTAAGATAAATAGAGTGCTTATTGTAAGGCATTCAATTTCAGTAGCAGCAAAGGAAACAGTTCAAAAAATATTCAAATTTGAAGTGTCATGGTAAAAGAGAACCAATAGATGGCAGTACTAGATTTGTTATTATACCCTTATTTACTATTCATGCATGTAGTAAAGACATGGAACTCCACCAAGTCTTTGCAAATCCAGGGCAATAGGATGGTCTCTACTGCAAAAAAGAAGAACTTAGAATCAAACTATAAGACAATAATCAAGAGATGAATAGTCACATACAATCACCCAAAGAAGATAGGGAGTCCATATGCTCCAAGTAGGAGGCTAGTGAAATATCAGGGAGCAACTGAAATTTTCATTTAGTGAGTTGAGATAAAACTAGTGAAAACCAGTGTGGAGAAGGGGGAGGAGAAAACATCTTACTGTAAGAAGCTAGAACTCCAGAGGAAAAAAACAAAAAACTGTAAGGCAGATAAGATGAAAGCTTGTGGGACAGATGAGAGTGCAGCTATGGCACTGGAAAAGACATTAAAAAAAACAAGGTAGGTCTAGCGTAGGAAAGGAAAAACAAATCAAAAGAGTGGAGTCAGTGGCATATTATTTTTCCCAATTAGCTCTTAAAAGAGATAGAGAGAAATTCTAGAGAGAAAAAGAAAAAAGATCAAGAAGATGTGAGAAGGTTTAGAAAAAAAACAGTGGTGATGTGAAGCTGGGCTGGGGCATTCTCAGCACAGACATGAGGATGTGAAGGTCGGAAGTGAAAAGATGAACCCGCCAATATTACAGGGCAGGGCTTGTGCTGAGAGAGAGGAAAACAAGTTTAAGGGGAGGAGAATAAAGAAAGTACAGTCAAAATCTGCAACAACACAGAGAAAAGAGAGAAGCAAGCTGAAAGATGAGAGAAATCATCAATTGAGCAGACAACCAAATTTAAAAAACGTCTTTAATTATATTAATTATTATCAGTTAAATCATTGATACTCCAGAACTCCAGAAAGAAGCTAATAAGCAGTCTGCTGGCTGGGCAAAGCCTATATTTTAGCTACTGACATTAAAAGGAGAAAGGGACATATTCTCCAGGGAGATTTTGGTATAGAAGAGTGTCAGAGATCAATTGTATCCTCCCCTGAGTGTATCTGGGAGTTATTTTTAACAAATCATGACAGTAAGCATTCCTGAAATCTGTCTTTCTCCCACTTCAGTAAAGTCACAGAATATTTTTTTGGGGCAACATTCACTAAAAAGATTAAAGATCAGCTTTAAAGATTACATTTTAATATATCTGTCTGTAAAGCTTGACTAGTTGGGGGTGAAATTCACTATTTGAATAATAAAATCCAAATCTACTTTGGAACAAGGAGAGCTCTGTAGTCTGATAGATATAGAGAGATTTGGGGCTGTCTTGTGGCCCCAGTTTATTCATTATCCTCATTTTCAGAAGCTGTAGAAATAGTCAGGGCATTTTAAATTTGTTTGAGGCTTTTCTGCATTTCCCCAAAGTAAAGCTAACATAATCTGTAATTTAGCAAATATTACATTTTAATATATCTGTCTGTAAACCTTGACTAGGTAGGGGGGGAAACCTTGACTAGGTAGGCTGCAAAAATGGCCTTAAATAAAAGGAAATTCCAGGATGAGGCATTCCCTTATTTGTCAGTGACTGACAGTTCTGGTCCTGACCTGAAACTGCAAATGGACTGAAATATCCATTTAACTAGCATGTGGAGTAATATTCAGAGGGAGGGAAATTTTAAGGTGAACTCACACATACTTTTTTCCAGTTCTGGATTGTTTGGTCTGTTAAAAAAATATATATATTTTATTCAATCTGGATTGGATTCCTGGAGGGAAAAGTACTTTAAAATAATGACATTCAAAGATGGCAAATCTGGACAGATAAAAAGCTTCATGTGAGCCTTTAATACACTAATAAAATATGGATTCCTCTTTTAATCCAGAACATGAAGCCAAATTACTAGTGATGAGGTCCATTCTTTTCTGAGCCAGGAAGGCCCGGATGTATTTATAAATTACTATGAGTATGCATCTGAAATTTGGGAAAAGAAAAAGAAAGCTTTTCTCTGGGAGGTGATCTGCAAAAACTTGCTAACAATATTCTAGGAGACAAAACACATAGTCATTGGACAAATTAATCACACTGCAATTTAAAAAATAAGATATAATTGTCTTTCATTTGAAATAAACTATTTAAACTTCTCTTCACAGAATTTGTGATAAATTAGTGATTTGTGAGCTGAAAAGAGCTAGTAA